ATATCTTGTCGCTTCGATGTTACTAAATTTAATTAGGATAAAAATTGTTAATTATAGTTTGCTGCCTCATTTAGACGTACTACCGTGATACAATCCATCACAACTATTTTATTTTGTAGCACCAGTTTGTGTTGCTTATGAAGAGAAAAAAATATACTTCATTAATCAATTAGGAAATTATTTTTACATTTCCTGTTAAATATACTTGAATATTCCTTAAAACATAACTATATAATTAGAACTAAAGAGTTTTATAATAAAATCATAGAATTGTGTCAAAAAATTAAATATATTGGCACTTGAATTATTTAATGGATTTAAGAATGATTAATTGCGAGGCAGCTCCTTAACAGAAAAACAAATTATATAATTTTCATTAATAACGATTTAAGTACAAGTACATTCTTATAGTTTTAACACAGTTTAACTCTTTCGCTATTAAAGTCCTCTATAGTAACCGCCCATGAATCTACCTCTGTGTAGAAATAAACAGCCCACTGCTAAAATATAATATTACTGTGTAGCAATGGCAATGATTTCATACTAACATAAAAAGTTTTAATTAAACACATTTAAGTAAAGAAAACCCTCTAATTAAATAAATAATTTTCAATACTGTATCGTCATAGTACCTATGAATCGGTCCTCCCATAGCGAAAAGGTTAAGAAGACATATGAAAATGATATTATTAGTTGTTCAATAAATATTGTTAATACTTACAAAATAATTTCAAATATGCATTAAGGAAAAATATATTATTTGATTATAATTCATGGAAATAGAAAAGTTGGAATGAATTTTACTGTCTTTGATAGTTATTCCATTGATAAAAATATCAATGTAATAAAGAAAATAGGCAGTTACAGTGAGATCATATGCAAATGAAAAAAAAAATACTTTCTAATATGAAGAATAACATATAAAATGTTCTGCTTTCAGCAATACTAGGTAAATATTATTACCTATGCGAATAAATAGGAGAATAATATATTATTAATTATGCTAAACATTTCCATTTGGAATGGAAAGAGAAACCAAGGCCTTTGTATAGTAAGAAACATAAACTGAAAAAGTGAAATGTGTACAATTAGAAGCAGTGTAACATAGCTTGTTTGTTACTGAATTTAAGAAATTGATTTTTACATTACTATGCTTAAAAAACGTACTGCTAAATTTATGCGTTGACATCTATTGATCTGTTGGACTGTTGCCCGAATAGTGAAGAGATACAAATTGTTTCAATATCAGTACCATTGTTTGTAGCATCGTTGCTTGTTTTTCTTCTAAAGTGGCAACCTATGTTAAGTAAACTTTATTAGTAACTACGTCAGATATCAGTCATTTTTTAGTAATCGACAAACATAAAATTGACATGAAATGAACATAAACATATACTTTTATTGTAATTTGATCTGTATAATTTTAAGATGTCACCACAATATATTTTTTAATGAAAGAAAAACTAATTCCATGATACCTATGATAGTTAGTAAAACTATCATTAATAGTAATTAATAATAATAAGAGTTCTAACAAATTCAATAAAACAAATTACTGTAAAATAATAGGCTTAAACATTTAAAATATGTAAGTAATATTTTGCTATTTCTAAAATTAGTGTACTTACTCTTTCTAGTAACTGATTGTACACAGCATATGGAACATAAGCAGGGGTTCCAGAACTAGGTGAAGTTGGTTCAAGGTGTGGAGACGTATCAGATTTCTGATTCTTATTTTTAGACTTACTCTCTTCGTCTACTGCTTCTAACTTATTAATGACTTCTAGAAAAGTCATTGCAGTCATGCTGTATAATAAAGAAAAATAATGTAACAATATTTTTCACAACATACTTTAATATATTATATCGTCTAAATAGCATTTTGGAATTAGTTATGTTTTCAAATAACTTACTTTATGAAATTACGATCTTTTTTAATGTTAGATTTGTCAAGTTGATCAATCAATGCAATTTTCTTTCTTTCTAATTGATTCAATTTCAATTCTTCCACCTACAAATAGATAATTTCTCATCAAATATGTTAATCATTATTTGTTTATAATTAATAGGTAGAAAATATATTCAATAACCCATGGTGCTTTTCTTCTTGCTTTTGCGGCTAATCCTTCAGGTTCCTCTTCACGTAATTGCTCTAACACAGTCTCTTTATTTTCGTTTGCTACATTATCTTCCTATTATAGACAAAAAAAATGTTATACGATTACGAATATCGAAAACAATATTTTAAATAAATATAATAATTTTTCGTGTTTTAATTAGATTGCGGATTTTATGTATTTATAAAATTTATAATTACGCAAAACATAACGAAGCATAAAAACTTAACAATATTACCGTATTTTTTTTAACAAAGAACACAAATTTTTTTTATATTCCTCTTGTATAAAATTAATCTTTGTAAAGATAAATTTACATAAAAATTCGCAATCTAGTTATGACTGTTACAGTTAAATGTCATACAAATCGTAACTTTCGCATTTGTATGCTAGTTAAATACTTTTCTTCACGTTCTTTTGTTTTTTTCTTTCTTTATCAAATAGTTCAGGTAAATTATATTCAAAATAGTGCAACGAACATTAACTGGGGTCATAGTGGTTGGTCCAGTAACTCGACGTAGTAAACGCTGCGAAGAAGGTGGACGTCGTCGAGGTGCTTTGGCTCGTGAAATTGTTAAATGCAAAAGCGGTACTCCTTCTCCTCGTTCTACTCCATCTAACTCCTCAGCCAAAGATGCATTGGTACTTCCATTACCACTATTGGTTTCCACATCACCTACGAGGCGTTTCAAGTTTGATACCATTGAATTTTCCCCTATAGTTTTTACATCTCCACTACTTTCTTCTTGAGTCGTCCTCCTTGATATGATTTTCTTAGTTGTTTCTACTTTTGATGGAACGGTACTATAAGTATATTCACTTTCTCTTTTAATCGAATGTTATGAAAATGATTTAAATTACATATGTACCTGCAAGTGCATTATCAATATCTAAACTTTTCCTAATGTGTGCCTTCTTACTCTTCGTGACTGGTTGAGAAAGTTTTGTGACATTTTTAGAATCGTGTCTTTGTTCATGATCTTGATGGTCTGTCGCAATGGTCACTATTTCAACGAAATTGTCTGGAAATAAACCCACTTTTCCTTTCAATTTTCCTATCCACCAACCCTATAAAGCGTTAAGGGTTTCTTAAACAACTGAATTTCGATATCTACATAGTAGTACAATATTCATATAAATACTCTCCACCTTATCAGGAGCATCTCTCGATAGAAGCGTTATAATATCTCCTTCAGTCAAACTTAATTCATCTTCGCTTGCAGCTTCATAAGAAAACAATACTTTACACAATTCTTTCTTATCTTCATCTTTGTATTTATCGGAATCTTCATAAACTGGAGGAGTCACAAAATTCGAAGGGAAAACTCCAGTTTTGCCTTTAAGTCTACCTCTCCACCATCCTTTCTCCTCTTCACCCAAAAATTCAATGGAGTCTCCAGGTATCAAAGTTAGTTCATCTTTGTTACATGGTTCATAATCAAAAAGTACTTTACAAAACTTTTTTCTAGACCCTCCATTCCTCAATGAAACTTCTTCAGATTTTATATTATTTAGTACTTTTCCTCCTGTGTTTTTACTTGATGGAGGATCTAAAACCTACATTCAATTGTTTGATATGAAATCTTTGTAATCAATAAAAATACAATATTAATAATCCTTTTTTACATGATAATAGTACAAAGCTATTCTAATTTTTTGTTAACTTAAGAATATATAAATTTAGTGTTCACATAAAATACACATTATATATTATTATTCGACTAATAATAATAATAATAGAAAAAAACTGTGAAGATGATACAGCTGAATTACTTGTGAGTGTGTGTGTATATGTGTATATATATATTTATATATGTAACATGGGCAAAATATCAGTTATACCTTAACATGTTCGCTACAATATCGTATATTTGTTTGTGACACATAATATTTGTATTTTATGCAAGAAAACTAAATAGATTATATACATTATTTAAAACCGTAATATATGATGTCACATTCAGAAAACCAATTAGATTTCTTTCTTGAATTTTTTTAATATTTTGAGAAGTAGATACATCACATTTAAGAAAGTATTACAATTATGAAAATAACTTTCAATGAAAATAGCGGTATCAAAAATGTTAAGTTTGCTAGAAAAACAAAAGAATAACTTATTTTTAAATCAATATTAAGAGATCTCATGACATCTTAATCAATTGTTACAGTATTCTAATACGTATCAAAGTTCATAGCATACTTCGTTAACAATTCAAAGACGATACCTTGACAAAATTATCAGGAAACATGCCACGTTTATCTCTCAAAGTTCCTTTCCACCAACCACCTGGCATTACTGTGATTTCCTGAATAATGTCTCCTCTTTTCAAAGTTAACTCATCAGGTTCTTGGGCATCATAATTATATTCAACAATTGCCTCCATTTTTTCTATTACTCTAAGAACGACTCAATCTTTCTAATACATAAATATCACAATTTCGTCTGCAAAAAGTATACACAACTTAAACAATAACAATAACTGACATCACCAGAAACTTAATGGAACAACTTAAACGGACGAGTTCGTCTTCCGCGAAAAAATACTTCGTTGAAAAATCTATTTACGTGAACAATGCGATATAAAACCTTTAATCGTTTTCCTTGTAGCAAGTTTTTGTTTCTGTGGAACGAATTACTCGTCGTGAAAACACAGACTGAACACAAAATGTAGCATACGTATGAGGCGCGTCTGAAAAAGTCATTTGTCCCTTGTGCATCCTCCGTCTTTCGTACCAGTGCTCCGAGTAATTCTGTTCATGTTACAGTAACATGTAACAAGTATGAAAGACTGAAAATTTAGGCGTATCCTACATTCAGTGGACAGCTCAACGTATCTGTCATCGCGGCCATCTTGGATACCAAACTCGAGTGAACTTCAAGGTGCAATTTGTGAGTAAAGCGCATGCTAACCTATTGGTGACTCAATGAACGTGCGAAACGCAACTCGTGATTCATTTTTTGATGGACACTTGTGAAGTTGATCAACGAATGCTGTTTCGAAAGATCTTTCGAGTACAAGAATAATCGAAAAAACGTAACGAATAAATCAATTATGATAATTACAAATTGTTCATTTCTGAAATATATGTTAACTACCTACTTGTTCAACTTAAGAACAGGGCAAACCACAACAAAACCACGTGACTTTTTCAGGAACGTGTACAACGCTAAAGTATGGTCTGGAAAAAGGTTTTTAAAAAAATTTAATTACAAGCATTTCTGTTTTATATTTTGCTTACTGGCTCATTAAGAAAGAAAAAAATGTGTGTGCTTTCTGTTACGTAATTTAACAATGTAGGTATTTAGCGCGCCGTTTCACTTACAAAATTAGAAGAGTCTGCAAGTACTTTTGCTAAGGTTTATTGTGAGCAGGTACAGTCCTGTCTGGCATAAAATGGATCAATGAGAGGTCCATCACGTGACGAAATGCGTCGCCATTGTTGTTGTGATTCGCTCTATTCTTAAGTTAATCCAAAGTTAAAGTAGATGATTGTCGAAGTCGTCATATGACTCATTGAATATTTCCAAGCGGCTGATTCATTTTAATCTCCTGGCTCTTGTCAGAAAGACCCTCGCATATTGAGTATGCGCAGAGCATATAAAAGTTCTGTGTACCCAATATACATATGTCTAACCACAGATGAGGTATAGGATAGACATAATATGCAATGTAAAATTTTGTCATATGCTCTCGGGATGCTAGTCCCGTTACCATTTTCATGTTACGCCCTGTCATATCGACTAAGACTGGTTTAGCATAGCAGCGCTATAAGTGATAGAAATGAGAATAAAAAGTATTGAAATTTTAAATGACAGTATAATGCAGAAACTTAGAACAGCGATTGACAGAAATGCAAACACAGTTGAACAAAAAGGAGAATAATTTTAATATTGTTTATTTATATTTATGGACACGATGTAAAACAATCAAATAAACGGTTACCAGATGTAGCAAATAAACAGATTTCAATGATTTAGTTTTTATAAAAAATGAAAAATTTATTACAGACTTGATTGTCTGCATTTATTTAAAAATATTGGAAAGAATTCGTAAAAATATGATATTTTTATTAATAATTTTACCAGATAAAACTTTTTGTGTGAAATAACATGAATAAATCTTCCATAATAAAAGAAGACTTGTATTTTAACATTTAAACGAATTCAATCTGTTAAAAATAATAATTAAAGTTATAAATTGAATAAAAAAACTATTGGTAAACAATAACCTGTTATTGACAAGGTAAGATGCGAGGCACAGAGCATTACAAGTATAAGTCTGGAAATAAACCTGCAGCAAGGAAATTTTATACACTTTTAGATACGCCCAACAATAGTGAGAAGTGAATTATAACAACGGGTCAAAAAAATGATTTATACACACGGCTTTTTTATAATAATTTTATATAAAAATACTGTAACAAAAATTATATGTTGAATGTAATCATTTTCTATTACAAGCTATGGAATACTATGAGAAAAATGTTCGCACAGTCATAGTAAGAGGCTCTCTGCATACTGTACAAATTGTCATGTCAGGAGCACATTTAACACAAGCAACTATATGTCCACATGGTAAAAATATTACTCCTAATTCTCCATTATAACAAATTTTGCACATCCTTGCATCATCCATGGGTTTATTATTTTGTGTCTTTGCATTTGATAAATTTTCTATGCTTCCTTTTTCAGATTCTGTATTAGTTCTGATACTTTCAATTCCACTGTTGGCAGAACCAATATCTTGAGAACTTGGTCCAGGTTTAGTTTCTATGTCTCCTTTTTTTTCTACTTCCATTGATACAGGTTGAACTTTCTTAATGAAACTTGGTAAATGCATTTGCATTATTTCCTGAAACAAAAGAACATAATTATATTAATTTAATTTGTGCTTGTACAGAGAACATAAAGTTTGAAATTTTTGTACATACCTCTAGAGATGGTGGGGATATGTGCTGACCTGTTACTTTATTAACATAATGTTGACCTTTAACCATCAGCAGATAATAGCATTTAGAATACCATTTTGCATGTTGTTCCCAGGGATCGTCCTGTGGTTCCCAATCTTTCAAACCCCCTCCACAATGATAACACAGGGTTTGATCACCTTTACCAGTGTAATAAAATCCAGCATCTGCTAACTGCTCTTTCGTTTGAGACATAAATTTTGGCCATGCTTTAAATGTACATAATCTAGCATCATAACTGGCATATTCTAAATGCACTGGTCTTTTAGGTCTCCCCAAACCTAAACAACTTAGTTTTGCTGTACTTACTAATTGTAATTTTGATTGATCATGATTGTCAAGACCAGAAATAGGTCTATCTTCAATCCCATAATGCCCACATATGTCTCTACTTCTGAATCTTGGAGGTAAATTTGTGCTAGGATCTACTTCAATTGGGACATTGCCACAATTGATTTTACGAATGAATCTGCACCATGCCGACCAATGTTGATGATCGATCATAGGATTATCACCCTCTACCCAGTGACATATTTCAATGGAACATTCAAAACATCTTACTTTATCACCTTCTCCTGTATAATAAAATCCAGCAGCTGCAAGCTTTTCAGGTTCAATATATTGCACAGGCCAATTTTCAAAACTCTGTAGTCTTGCTAATTCAAAGCGATAATCAATATTGTCCACTTCATTGTTTAACAAATGAGATTGTATAGGGGACTGCAATGTTAATTGTATATTTGCTGAAGGTTTAACATTTGAATCGCTTTCCAACTCTCTATGATGTTTAATGATATCAGTCATCTTGTTTAAGTATAGTTACAGTAATATTATGGACAAATATCCTGGACTACTTAAAAACCTATTAAAACCATTGTTTTTAATTGATGAATGAACTGTTATTGCAATGTGGGGACACTCCCTACATACTACACCAGCGACATCACGCGAGGAGTAGACTAAGAAGCAGAATAGGAACACAGCTTGATATAATTGAACAATTAGTACTACATTTTACCAGTGATGGCGCCTCGTGTATTATCTTTGTGGCGGTCTACTACATTTGAATTGATAGTCAATTTTATAAATTAACACTCGTTGTTAACAACAATTCTTCACTTTAATAAAGTCTTTTACTATTTTAATACTTTATCATGTTGGCATCATTAGCGTATTTTCAGAATATGCAAAGTAAAATATTGCGAAAAATATTAAATTTTCGATAATAGTATATTACGTAAAATGATGCAAAGAAACTATTTATATAAAAAAAATATAGAGTTTCATTTAAAATAAAGGTACTTGTACTTTGCAACTACGTTAATACATTTATGAAAAAATTGGTCTTGTAGCTTGACAAATAGAACAAACTATATAGGAGGACAAATAAGACTGGTATAACTCCCATATACTTACTTAAATTGCATCGAGTAATTACATTAACATTGAAGAATAATAGAAAATAAAAGAACCTACATATATTTATTTTTCTCACAAATATATTTATATTTCAAGCAAGGTATAATACAGTACAGATAAATATGTAATATAATAAAATATCGAAATATAAGATACTGATGCAACTAAACCGTTTTGCGTGGACTACTTGTATATTAATATGATGCAGTATGATGATTAAATTATAAAGAAGTAGCAATTTAAATATATAAAATAGTTTTCTCTGAATTCGTTCTATTGAAACAGTGACGTCATAGGGTGCGTATCGACTTGAATGTCGGCTTGTTGGAACAATTTTCATTATTCGCTAAGCATTTTCTTTTAAAACGAGACGCTCTTTTTCCTTTTTAAGATTCTCCTTTTTAACGGTAACAAGGCGAGCTTGTTTAATGGGTCTTCGATACCATCTTCTCCTGCTATTGTGTTGTATTTCTCCTGTTTTGTCTTTAGTGGATACGGTAAAAATGTTTCCATTTCTACACTTGGAACCTTGATCCATTTCATAGTTTTCGGGAACCTCTTTTTTTGTGGTATAAATTCTTGGTTATATATTTTCCTTTCTGGCGTACTTTCGCTGCTCTCAGTATTGTCGAATTTACTTGCATGTCGTTGGAACGCGAAGTCTGCTGCTTCCAGAGTGGTCTTGGCCTTTTCGATCTCGGCATTCAAGTCGATTACATCGAAGATGCGATCCTAAATTGAAGTATTTTATATTAACACGAATACTCAGTTTTGAAATTAGACTTATTTCCAATATTTGGTACTTCTACGAGAGGGTCATAAAGAACTGCTTCTATGTTTTTTAGTAAATTGAAGATTTTGTCGGCTTTGTTTGTTATTTTACACATGAATGTAGTAATTTAAATTAACATCTTTCAATTTGTCACATTTTATGATAATATAGAAGTAAAAACATATTCTATTACACAAATGAAACAGAAATTTAAATTAAATTTACAGAAAGTTAAGTAAAAAAGGTGTAAGATATAAATCTTTTGGTGAAATGGCCAATTAAATTATAAGCTTTCTTTTTTAAAAAAGAAACTCGGTTATTACGCCAAATACCTAATAAATTTAACGAATCTAATCTAATCTAATCTAATCTAATAATTAAATTATGTTTTATATCGAAAACGCTTTCTTAATAGACGTCGGAAGAGTTTTAATTATGATCAATTAAATATTTTTTATTTAATTTCTGGAATTTTGTTGAAATTGAAACATGTTGATGACTCAAATAAATAATTTGTGTTATATACATCGTATAAGTGTCTTAAGTTTAATTTATAAATTAAAATTCAACCTGCATATCTCTTCTTTGGCGTCTGAAATCAGCCAAATCCTCGGCGAAAGCAGCAGCAGCGCGTTCTTTGTAACGTCTTTGAGAAGTTACAAAATCATTTTCAATGTCTTCATCATATCCTCGTTCACATAAATAGTCCAGGTCATCATAATAACTACGATCACGAGTACCTAAAATATAAATACGTTAGTTAAGACACTACAGAATTGGTTATACAAAATAAAATGTGTTAAGGCTGAGTTAATTGTATTTGTAAATGTTACATAAATATATTCAGAAACCTTCTCGTGTACAAAAGTGGATAATGTTACGCGATAATTAAAATGATTATATGATATAATGTATGATGTGTTACAATGTTATGATGTAATGTATTTTAATATAAGGCACAACTTAAAAGTGCTAGATCATTTATCATGTTCTTCTCGTTATCAGAATTTTTAAATAAAAACATACTGAATGAGTTGTTATCTGTGACGCAACTAGAATAATTGATTAATAAAGCAGATATTCATGGGTTTCCATTTTTTAAATATTTATATAATACGACGAGATCGAATGAAACTTTAATTGAATGATTGATTCAACTTTCATTACTCTACCATTTTATCGTAAAAAGTTTGTTAAAGATATATAAATTTTGAACGTGTAAGGTTTCTTATATCTTTGTAAAATAAAAGCGTATTGTTGTAAAAAATCTTGAAAATTCTTACTTTTATAATACGCAATAAAAATAATAATAATAATAATAATATTGATAAATAAATAAATTAAATGGACATAATAAAATTAAGCCCACTTCTTGTCATATAAATGATCCAAAACTTTCGATTACTATTGTAGTATACATTAATTATATAGATCTACTGTAAGAATCATAAAAAGAAGGAAAAGAAAATAGAAAATATAGTATTGCATGCAAGTACAAAATTTCCATCGCACATGCAAGATATTTTTTTGAAAACATAAAATCGAGATTTTCGACAATAGGGAATACGTGTCAAGGAATTAGTTGTGAAAACATGATTTAAATATTTAGACCACATTTAAAGCGAAATTGTTCAATTCTACAGAAGAGAGAAATAGAGATACATACAATGCCAGGAAAACCATTGCTGACCACGAATCCAGACGATAAAAAGGATAATGGGTACAGAGTAATTGTCTATGTAATTTTAATGTAATTAGTGTATATGTATTGTATATATTTATTTTGTTTGTAATTAACGAAAACAATATGAATACACTTAACTATGTATTAAATAGAACTTACATTTTGTATTGTTCATAGGTTAGGAACTGTTTGTAGAATTACATAAACATAAAACATATTTTTACTTTTACATCCTTATCTGTAAAATTATTTAATTTTATGCTTCTCTATTATGGTAGTTTATTTTCGTGTGTGTACAAAGTAGGTTTTGTAATGTTTCATTTGAAATGTTGTAATAATCGAATACTGTCTATGTATTGTCTATAAACATCAAGTAGTGTGGGACTACAGTTGAATAAAACAAAATAAAATGATAGGCCGAAGTCTCTTTGAAAATAAATATTCAAATTTCGCCTAATACATACCATGTCACTTATAATAATAATAATAATAATAATAATAATCTCCTAATTTTAAATGATAAGTCTACAGACATTATGCACAGTGACACATTTATATCTAACATTTGTTATAATAATACTTTCTCATAAGGGAAAAAAGTATATGACTAGATAATCGTTTGCAAACACTTCTGGGTATAAAATGAGCAATTGCGTCGAATCGTATTTTTTATGGCACTGCTGATGTATTTCTACTACATGAAACAATCTTATACAAATATCTTTGTCACGTAAATACGTAGATCGAACTGTTTGCTTCTGATAATGCATCGATCGTAAATGATAAAAAAATAATTAATCGAATATTGAAATGATATAAGTACAAATATGGGATCACCATTTAAGTAATATGAACTTCTCGAAATGTTAAGGTAAGATAAATAAAATATCAATTCTCATAGATCATCCTTTATGACACAGAAGATCGATTTGTCGACTTCGTTTAATATTATTGTTACTTCATACAAATCAAACACTATCGAAATTATGATCATTATAGTAGTTTCACTCCAAATGGAAATTGCACTGTAGAGTTCGTAAAGATTTCCTTATACATACAAATATTACAGCTGTTATCATATTCCTCTATGTTATAGCTGTTCTCATTGTTGACACTGATTTCGTTCGTCAATAATTTCTCTTCCCTTCAAAATACCATCCACGATACGTCCATATAACGAGTAGTAGTTTCCAAACAATTATACCACGTCGTTTCTGCGACTTTAAATCCCCGGTACATATTCCATTTACAAGAATCAAAACTTCCATCAACAAACTCTAACCCGAATTTGATTCCCATCAAGTATCAATAATATTAGAAACAAAAGTCTTTCATCTATCACGGAAACATTTAAAAAGTGACGTGTTTCTCCGAGCGCTCGCGAATCGAAACCTTCTTACTAAGGAGAGACGATTGTTCCTGAATGCTCTCGTTTTCAGCCGCAGTTTCGTTGATCAGCGCTCTAAGCGCGGCCGCCCTGCGCTCTCTTTTCGCTTGTCTTTCGGACAGTTCCTCCATTTCGGATTCTAAATCGTTCAGACGTGCTTTGGTCTGTCTGGCTCTGGTCGCGGCCGCGCTAGGCAACGTGTCCTCTTCGTTGATCAGCTTGGTCCACTTCATTAACATCGGTTTCTCGCCCACGAGGTCCACGTCGTCGATGATCTTGGAGCGTCTCTTGTAGCTGGCTGCTTCTGCGTCCTCGAACGTCGACTTCATCATCTCTTTCACATCTTTCCTCGCGGAGAACAGACCGCTGTCCAGTGTGTCCTGTTCCTGGCGTTGCAGGCGCCGTAACGGCTTAGTCAACGCAGCGTCGACCTCTTCATCTAATCCGATCGCAGCTAATTTCGCTTTGAGGTGCTGCGTGGTCGCGGTTACGTCGTTGACGAAATTTTCAGCGAGACGACGCCGACTGCGTTGCCCACGGCTGTCGTAGACGATCTCCTCGTTTTCGTCGAACAGAGGGTCGTTGGAGATGGACGGTAACTGCGGATTGCGGATCAGAGGGTCTATCTCAAGGTCAAGGTCACGGTTCAGGGTATTGGAGCGAGGACCAGAGAGGTCACGCGAGCCTGTAAAAACCGACACCTCAAGATCTTTACAACATTAAAGAACCGCGTTTGGGCTCTAAATGATAATGCGAAAGTGCTTATCTGTGGGATGAACGATGGCGTTAAGCTTTCTGTCGCACCAACATTGCGTTTCAATGGTGAATTAATTTTAACGCGTTTAAGGGCATTCGTATGCGAGAAGTGAATTCAATGAATGGAAATTATTTTGTAAATTTACGATTTTATATTGAATTTATATTTATTTTTGTATGTATGAGTGACATGTTGAAAGTTTTGTGTTTATAGCGAATTCGAATGGTGAAGAATGGTTAGATAACATTGAAGGCTAGTTCTAACTTCCCAGTCTTGTCTATTTTTATGCTTCTAACTTTATCTTGTGTTTATGAAGTGTACCTAAACGTTTTGTATTTCTTTCTAACCTTTTACTTTTTATATTTACCGCGGTAGATTGTTATTTTGAACAAGTATTTCAAATAGTTTCTCTGAGGATGTTTAGATTCAGTAGTTTCTTTTTTATTGGTCATTGTAAGTATTGTGAAGTTATTGGTCATTATTTATATTTATCTTTCAATAGGTTATGGTATTTCTTTTCACGTAAAATGATTGATACTTCTTTAGACTTTCAAGTTTTCCACTATATTTTTAATAATTTTCAAAATAATTGGAAAAAAATAGTAGTATCTTGTATTAAAAAAATAAATAAATAAGAATATTTTGCATATATATCTAAAAGTCGAGCGATACCAGATCGTCGCCATATTGAAATTTGATACATGAAACACAGAATGTTGGAAACAAAGGACATTTATATACCGCTACCGCACAATAAGTTATCTAAACGTACAAACTAATTTACCTTATCAAAGTCATGAAATATACCGATAATTTTATGTAACGACCAAAGTCCCGAAAACGTTAATTTACAATTTAACTGATCTTTTAATTGAAAAAAACCAAATCAGGTGTTGTTTGTACGTGCTTATACGTTAATACAATTTTTTATATTTTGCCATAATGAAATAATCCCTCACTTGTATATCACTACCTTATGCTGATAAATATGGTAAAATTATAAAGATCGTACTCGTTCGTCAATAAAATAAGCCAAAGTTATTGAATTATACATAAAGCTAATTTTAAATACGTTAACATACGTATATTCTGTACCTAATGTAAAATGTACCAAAATTAGCTAAATATTGTAGTTTAACAGTAATACAGTATGCTCAACAAAAAACTTAAAATGACTTTTCTTATGGAAAATACGAGTGCCCTTAACGTATCAAAAGACAAACTTTCTAAACTTGAAACAACTGAAAGCAAGACATGTCCATACGCGAAATTTTATTCAGTGAATGGTTACAAGAGATATAGCCGACAAGGGTGGAAATGCAATGAATCGCATGACGTGAGTAATAAATAATGGGGTCTACACCGCACAAACGTTATCATATTCATGTCACGGGATACAATAAATTATTAGACGGTTCTGTTTCATGTTACGGTTTTATTTTGCCTCGTTACGTATTCGAAGTTCTCTGTATGACGGTTGTTTTGGCGGAAATAAAGTTTTTCTGCTGGTTGTGTGACAGTAGATTCAAGAGACAATACATTCAATTCCTTTCACATCACGATCTGGTTCGGACATGCCACTCACGAGATGTCAAAGAAGTCGAAAATACTTCATTATCCTCGGACTTTCCGAAAGTTACTCGATTACGTTTTTGTTTAAAGGGAAAGAGACATGGGATAAACGTTCACCGCTTAAAACCATTTTGGAAAACTTCTGAAGATGTTACCGAGGTCGTTTCGGCTGGCCGCGATCTCGTCGGCTAACGAAGTTCTGGGTTCAGGGAAGAGTGGACGTCCACTGTATTTCCGGTCTAGATGATCAACCATCGGTTTATAATACGATTCCCCTTTATCGTAGTTGCAACCATAGACACGCGTACGCGGCCTGCTGAGAATTGGTCTTGCCATCTTGATTAAACGGCCTGATTGCCACCTGAAATACCAATAATTCGTCGGAAAGATTACGGAGCTGCCTTATCCTAAGTGAACTTGAAATATTGCTTCTAGGAAAATAGAGGAAACGGTCTAAATACAGGCTACAGAGCTGCTACTCGATATGTACTAGCCAATATTAGGTGATTTTTTGATATTCATGTTTCAAAATGCAAAAGATGACACGCAGGAATTTTGGATAAAGTGTTCCGAGCGGTACCTACAGATGGTAATATTTCAGAAGCGGGTGAAAAAGAAATGCACATTTGTGACTACCGTAATTGAATTACGTTTATAGCAGTGTTTATTTTAACACTATTACAATTTAAGTTTAATTTCGTTAGTATCTTAAACTCTTTTTGAATGTATTTCAATGTGAAGTTGTATAATTTTTACTTTTAGTTTAATAGATTTTAAGAGTGATTCCAAATGATCACACTTTTAAAAACAAACATTCGTATTTTATTTCAAATATAATACTGACTTGAAAATTGACTTCGTGAGCATTTCTTTTATTTGGCATTTTTTAATTCTGTATCATGAAACAATCGTTTCGTTATATGATAAATGTTATAATCAATATGATATATTTTAAAAGTCTTCAAGAAGTTCGACAGTAATTCTTGAAATTAAACCACTAGCCCATATTTAGACCTTCTCCTCTAATCTAATTTATTTCTGAAGAGATACTGTGCTCTCAAAAAATATACGATCTGTGAAAATTATTTCGACATTGATGTAGTCCTCATTTTACTTAGAGAAAAGCACTTTTTGTCGAATTAGACTTTGTAATTTTAACTGTATTACGGGCAAACGGTTGCATATACTGACTCATCATGTTTCAACACGTTGCAATTAGCATTGCACTTTTTATTGTTATTTTAAAAAAATATTACTAACATTTTCAAACACACACATACGATATTTTCATCACACTATATTTCTTCAGAAGAACAGTATTTTGTATAATATATGTGCAATTTAAAGATTTCGAATACTTTACACCTGGCATTTATATAGCAAACTAGAATTTGATAAGTGAACATTTTATTGGTTTGCAAACATGCCATTATTATCCCTATTTCCTTTCATTTTCTTGAAATATTATTTCTTTATAACCAAGCTATCAATATATGAAATAATTTGTATATACTACATTTCTATAATCGTGTTACTTGAACATAGCAGTATGAGGATAGAAACAGTAAAAAGTTATTTATAGATATTTGGCATAATACATGTGATCAGCAGAAACTCCTCTTTGAAGTCACCGGACAGTAATATATTTATATCACTTTAAGTCTCAAATGAATGATCTTGTTTGAAACACGTTTCAACACATTCCGAATGATTTTAGAAACGAAACGTGAGGTGTACATTATTGTTTCAATAATTTAACACTTTAATTATCCTATCAACTTAAAATAATTCTAACACTCTCTAGCATATTATAATATTTTTTTTATAACAAAACTATAGAGATATTACGTTTTTCTTTTGAAATAACAATAATTTTATTAGTTTCTAATACAAAAAGTCATTAAGGTGTTAATAATGCTATTTCTTTCAATAGTTGCAGTCTCCTAGGAAATACCCAAAATCTTCATCTCATTTAATAGAAGTATTAGATAAAATGCTTAGGATCTACGAAAAATTGAAGGACTTACGTAAAAAGTGAACAGCCTACGAAAATGATAGAAACTTCAAAAACGATATGAACCAAAAATAATAGGTCGCCAGTAGTATTTTGCATATAAAAACTTGAAGGATTCTATTTCGTAATGTTGTCATTAATAAAAGTAATAATGTTTTTGTATAATATTCATTAACAAAAACCAATAATATTCTAGTTAGTAAAATCGCTATTTTATATAAAATAGCTTAATAACTATTGTTTTAATTCATATATAATAATTTCTTGCTTTTACAAAACGTTATCCGCGTTAATATAAGTTTTTAGTTTTCTGTTTGTTATTAAGATTGACTTTATTTTAGTTTAAAATATATTAAATATATAAAATTTTCAATTAATGGTGCACTACTACAATTTCAATTAGATTGTGTTACACATTATTATTAAATAGTGTTGGTTTATTCGTTTATTCTATGTTTTCTACGTTAAACAAGCAATAATTGTTTTATATTTTAATGTATGAGAAATATTTGTCCCTTGGGTATTATGTTCAAATATGAAACTGAAATTATAATATTATTAAAGAGACAATTGTTAAAATTTTTTAAGGTGATGAAGTACATTATTCTGAGTATAAAATAATGAAAATATTTTGTGCAGTGATTAGAAAATTATGGTTTGAGGTTGATTTGTGTTATTATGTTATAATGTTTTATATTATTATACCTGCCAGAAAGTATTCAACCATGCAGATTAAAATTATTATTCCAGAAATAATTTTAATATACTTCTCTGTCCAAGAGTTGCAGAATAATGCAATAGTCATTGGAATGGAACAAACAGCAACTATATTATCGCAAAATATCAAAATATTTCACATCATTTTTCATAGAAAAAAGATGTCTGAATAGTTTCCCGAAACTAAGTTTCGCTATCTCCTTTCACCTGAATTGTTTACCGATTATTTTTTGTTTCAAATTTTCCTTTCGAAAATGTATAACTAAACATTTATTAAATTAAGTATTATTTAATCTGTTGATTAAAAGGAAGTACATGTTTTGTGATTATAACCTGATAAAGCTACAGTAGTACAAAAATAATTTACTAATATAAAATATTTTTGTAAAATAATTTTACATAAAAATACACTAAAAACGTACAGTAAAATTTTGAAAAAAGGCAGATTTAAAAATTCATTTGGTAAATTTCACTGTAGTTATATATCTGTTCATGATCGGGTATTTCTACTTATGGTCGCTTCTTGAGTTTAACTTTACTTTACGCAGCTATTTCAAATATGTGTGTCTATAAACAGCGAAGATATTTAGCTATTTCCATTTAAGCACTCTGTGTGCGCTACCTTTTAAATACATATTAGCAAAATTCTATTAGCAAATATGGAATGAACATGAATTACCACTATTAAAATATGAAAATTACTGTTTGCTATAATATTAATCATATTATAATAATAACATAAAATATTAAAATTATTATAATATTAAATAGAATCTATACATTCTATATTTACTTTTTACTTATATTCAGCGGACTTAAAAGTTACCCTACGTATTGATTATGCCAGTGTATCAATAAATTTACATAAACATATATTTGTTGTGTTATAGTTTTTTAACATATTTTCCTTGTAATTTCTTTGTTAAATATAAAATATACTTTCCTTATTTATATATTCCAAAAATATCTCGACTGATAAAATTTGGCGCGTTTTTGATGTCATTATTTTGGATAAAAATAAAATACGGTAATATGAGAGGGTTGATGCCTCAAGATAGCTTTGATTTTCAAACCGAAGCAGCGATATAATACAGTGTGAGTCATTTAACTTGTCGAGACTAAAATTGCTTATAAACGGTTTGTTCTATTTTCGGTGAAACAAATATAGTTATTTTCTTGGTGGCTTTTCAATTCTCTTGATAAAAGATACATCCGTTAATTATATTGCTGTCAAGTGTGTATTTCGCCGTAAAATTGACTATCGTCTACTGAGCTTCAATTAGTAAGTGCTACACTTAAATCGATTGCCAAATTACTGTCGTTTAATTGCAATGACTTCAATTTTCTTTTGATAACATAGAATTTTTGATACTAAGAAAATTTACTACCGAATAATTACTTGATATATATTTGTTATGAAATAAATTTTAATCATATTACTTACTAAATAAGCTCGAATGAATTGTTCTGAAAAAAATATCAAAATTTTCCTTTAATTTAAAAAAAATGAGATACGTTGAAACACTAAATAAAACATATGCGACGAAAATTATTATCTGTGTATTAGAAATGAATTTATTCCATTATATTGACATAATACCTTAAGTTTCGTTTCTTTTAACTTAAACAATAATTATTTACCTATAACCTAGCTCGATTATGAAACGGTTAAAAGTATTCAACAATTAAATTGGAACTGAGATCTAACAAAAAAGGAATCAGTTTATATTTATGTCAAAATGATTAATATTCAATATTTAGAAATTCTACGAAATCACTGTATTTGTTTACAAGAAAGCTTGCAAAATCACCTTTAAAAAGAAGTACTTCTTCTTTACGTTCTTTGTGCACTGAGCTTTTCAGATCAATTTGAGTTCTTAAACAAGATGTCATGAAAGTCGGAAGAGCCTGAAACACTCTGTAATCAAGCATAGAATGATAAGAGATTTGCTAAAATATTTGCAGCTGAATTTAACATGCAAACAATCATTATATACAATTATTATATGATCTTGTTTTAATATTATCTCATTACATGGTTAGTGCTGTTTTTACCCTTATATACAGATATTTACAGCATTTTGTTTAAGTAACTCAAAGTGACAACCGCTGTAGTATATGTTAAGTTTCAGACCATTTAATTTATGTTCTAAACTCTTTTCCGTGTAACCAACAGTTTACGAATAATTTAAGCTAAAAGGGTACGTTGAATAAGTAAAAATAAGAAAAATGATATTATATGAATGCACATATATAAGAAAATTTGAAATAAAAAAATTATAATTAAACTGTAACTGTACTTAAAGTTCATTTAAAGGATATTTAACAATTATGTCAATAAGAATACAGTTAAAGTAGAAATGTGTTCACTATTAAAATTAAATATAATAACATATAAAGTGAAATATTATATTCACTATGAATGATATGATTAATTAAATAATTAAAGTGAATTAAATTAAATGTAAAATGAAGCGTTACTAAAGCTATTAATTTCTTTCTATTATATCAAGTTTTGCATAGTTGCGTGCATTGTATAAGTATGAACGAATAAAATCAATTTGTGCAAGTAGATCGATGATCTAATTCGTTTATCGTATTCGACTATACCATCTCGAACATTTCAAATTGATCGGTCTGACTGCATGTTTCTGTTACTATACAGTAACACTGAAATACGTGTGATGAAATCGAACTGTTGTGTGCTTTTATTATTTCCATTTATAATAATTTTAATAATTTTCTAATAAGACTTTTAAAGACTTTTTAAACCTGTAATTCTATAATATTTGTCTTTTTACTATAGATACATGCAATGTTACCTCAATAATTGTTCAATCAACTGCATATTATATTTTCTCGTGTAAATATAAATCAAAACTACAAAAAGAGAATTGTCTATTAAGTATTGAATTTTTGAAAGAAACACGGTTGAAAAATTGACAAAAATCGATACATGTAATTTCATGCAATATTCATGACGTGTTCCACTTTTTAACGTGTCAGAAAAATATAATCAATTTTCTCGAGTTTCCTTGAACAGTCCGAATAACTTGATTATACATTTCCAATATAGTTTCGATCAATGAATCACTGTGTGCGTGACTTTATATCCATAAACACTGAGAAATCTCGAAGTACAAATTTCTAAGTATCAGTGCTAAATTTGTAAAAGTGATTTCTTAATGTAAGTATACAAAATGAATTTACTTTTTCCGTTTATATTATTTAATTCGACGAAACTGATACTTGAACACTCGACCGTTTAGAAGTTCCATATCCTTATCCCTAATCCTTTAAACGGAGATTAATGAAATTAATACAGAGTCCCAGATACCTCCATCTGGTCTCGCTTTCGGGACTCTACTATGAGTAACCGGCAAACTGGAACGAGCAACTACATGTTGCTCAAAAATAGACTATGTCTAATTTAGTGTCCGTGAACTGAACTGGCACACACCACACTCGAGTCCCGGACAACCGCCTCCGATTACGAGCTACATCTATGTACGTCGTAACCTATTGTGATCTTCCCGGAATTGCGTCTTATCAATTTTCTCTTTCTTAATTATTTGGTGCTTGTAATGATTTCCTTTTACGTTTAACCCTTTGCACGCGGAAGTTTTTCCACTAGAAATATTTAATATTTTCTGAGGAGGCAAAAATTACATTTTCTGAAACTAATTAAAGAAATATCACACATAAATTAAGGAATATTTTAATATTTCACATATTGATGTGTTATATAATATTCAATATTAATTAAATAAATATTAAACTTTATAATTTTGCTGTCTCACTGTTATTATTTTCAGTTCCTTATGACTATTAAAAAAGCCATTCTTCTTGTGGCAACTTTGGAGCAATAAAGTAGCTATGATAGATAGCCGTTATTTAAGACAAGGAATAGTTAATTTATCAAGAATAAGTGTAGTGAGAAAAAGATTAATTAATTGATTATAGATTTAATATAGAAGTTTTAGCATTTTTATTGTTAATAAATTCTAATAACGTGTTTAAAAAATATTCAGACAGAAAATGTTCCTTTCAATAGGGAAATACGAAAAACAATATAATAACACCAAGTAATAGTTATTAAAAGAAATAATTTTATTAAAATAAAGCTTGCAATAATTTCTATTAATTTAATATAATAAACAAGATATGAGAAGGCAAGTTCAAATTCTTGTTACAATTATTGTTTAATGAAACCTATCATAAACATTAAGTTCCTTCTTAATTCTCGTTTTTGTTAAGAAAAGCCAAAATAGCTCAAGATTATAGTTAATTGACATTCAAAGTTAAAGAGAAATGTACGAATTTTTATCAAAGTTTATGGCATTCGAATAAAATGAAATATAATAAATAAATTTCTAAATGTTTGAAGGAACATATTCAGTGAGGCTATATTTTTCAATCAATTATGAATTTTTATATAATTAATTCTTTCCCTCCCATTTAAGCCCTACATTTTTCATTTCTTTCTAATGCCAGAAGTAATTAAAACATTTCAATTAGAATATTGAAATCAGCGACGCAAGTGAAACATTTATATCGAATAAAAATAAACAAAAAGCCGTTTCTTATTAAGATGCAATGATGTATCAAAATAAACTAGTGTCTTTAACGTTTATGAAATTTTTTGAAATTCTGCTTCACCATTTCAGGTTTCGGCATGCATATTACGTGCACCAATAGTAACCCACTATTTGATTTCAAGAATGTCGAAATCACTGAGTTAATTTTAAAATGTTTCCTCAACATCTTACTCAGTGACAATTATCCACGACATTGAGGAATAAAAATAGCCTTGATTTTTTTTCATAGAAACATGTATTAATTTAGCGAGAAAACAGTGAATTACCTGTTAGTGCGTGTAATGCAAACCATTAAGCTCCAAGTAAATATTGTACAGCCTTATTCATTACTATGATCACCGCCATTTTACGTCTCGTTAAAGATTTATATGTGGAACAGTATAAACAATTTGTAACACTTGTTATGGCACGTAATGCGATTGCACGTAAAATAACACGTTAAATACGGTCACTTAGACAAACTAAATATAGTAGACGAAGAATCTGTGAAATAGATCGAAATTGCAGTTAGTAGAAGACAAAGAATTTATTATTAACAGCGGGTGATTATTCAAAGCCCAATTTAGGAGCAACAGTAAATATGATCACACTGTCAGAGGACGTCGTTAACTCGTTGCGTAAGACACACCAAATTTAACTGGCAGACATAGCTTCGAACTGTTGATATCGGTTATAGAGTTACTTCGGCCAAAGTACTTCCTATTTTTACGATACAATAGAATCTCCGATTTTAATCAAATGTTAAATATCCGATATATTGACAATATCCCGTATCCTGAAGATATATATTAATACTCATGCGTTAACTATATTCCAATAATTTTCGTTCGATTCACTGACCTCTGAATGTTACAAAATTATTTCATTAGCACATCGAATTAAGTAAGTACTTAAACAAGACAATTGTAAAATGTTTCTTCGGTTGTCAAAGAGTGCGTAACGCGATTAGTGCTCGCCAGCAGTGCAAATGAAAGCTCGTAAATCAATCGAAAAATTGAGAATGAAGATAGAGATCAGGAATATATTATAATTTTAATCGTTATTAATATAATTAATACCGTTAATGACATATTCGAAGCGACTCGCGTATTCTTGAATTATTTATCATTGTTGTTACTGTATAATTTGCAAAACTTGTTCTGTATAAAAATATGCACGATCTTTGCGAACATTCGAATGTTAAATCTGATGTATTAGACAGCATGTGTAATTAGAAATTAATTGAACATTGATAAATTGTAAATGCATGTACCTGAGGTTACAACGTATTCTTTTAGGTGCTATTTCCTCGGAAGTAGCGGCACGACTCCCACAGACGCTGCAACGCAGGTTATTTCCCACTCCATTCGTGGTCTACCCCTTCTCCATTGTGGTGGTTCGTAAAATGTAATTCCTACTGATTCGCTCATTTGCGATGTACGGTTCTTATGGAGCGACCAGTAGTATGCCAAATTGCGCAGCATTTCGAGAATCTGGTTTACAAAAAGGCCAGGTGCTTTTCTGAACTCTCAAAAATTAAGTATCTCTTTTGATCTAAAAAATTAATTGCTCTTTTTTTAAATTTCTACGAAATTATATGTGTTTTTAAGTATTTTATTTAGATATTCATTGTCCGGTTTCAAGGTAATGAAGATCCTTGTGAACGTAATAATAGTCGCGCGTATATAATCTCGAAATTGAGACGTGAATGTGATCTAGTAGTAGTGATATTGTTATATATTTAAATATATTGGAATACTATATGAACTAAATAAAAAGAAATTAATAAAACTGGCAAGATAAAATACAGTAGGTACCGGATAAGTTGTAAATTATGTTTAATGTTATTGGTCTTTTATGGAAAATAAATTCTATACTTGTTTTATTGGTGATAATTTAATGCAATAATTGTACTATTTTTAGAAATTAATCAAATTTCTTTTACGTTGTATCTAATGGAATGAAGTTATTGGAAGGTTTCTTTTTATAAGTAAAATGATCCGGATTATCAATATGCAGTAGAAGAAGAAAGTATTTTTATTATCGATTAATCTGACTACTTCGTCATTTTTCTTTATCTTTAAAGTACGATGCAGAGCAGACTTCGAAACTTTTATAACAGTTTTCAGTATTAATAAAAGTAAGACAGCTTCTAAATTAGTATTAATCTATTTTATATTATTAATTAATATTATTCATGTTATATCTATTATTTTGATTTATTTATTACTGTAAATTCCTAATTAATATCTAACACGACAGAGGACTCAATAAGAATGTATTGTAATAATAATCAAGTATGAATACTACAGTGTGGTACGAATTGTATTGACATTATGTGGCATCTTCAATGTTTCAAAATAGGTAATTGCGATTCTGCATATTTTCAATGATCTATAATAAACAGAAATATTGTTTTAAATAATTCGTTCTTGCGTTTAGTTCTGATGCAATTTTCCCAGATCAGCTCGATTTAGAGATGTATTTTTGGTGGAACTTGAAGAACGAATTTCTATACTTCTTAGCCGACCACACTGACTTCCATTATAATCAAATAGCGTATACACACGTACGCATTTGTATCACCGTTGAATTAGATGCAAGTGAAATGTAATTCTGTTATAAGATATAAGTTTGTAGATCATTGTGGCTGATGGAATTACCAATTATCTTCACATTTGTCTATGATTCACATTTTTAAAGGTACTAAAACCTGGTTTCGAGAAATATTGCGTCGCATTCAAAAGATATTGTGGTTGATGAATCATTTATTCTGACTGCACACATTATTTTCGCTGTCATGAACAATTTGAACGGTTTCTATTTTGGCAAAAATAAATGATTATTATTAAGAGGAAAGGTATGTATCAAAAATTAATCAGCTTCATATACATACGTTCCATAGGATTTATTAATTTCAAATAAATATTAGATAAATGGAGTATTACGTACTAATCTAAAGTTTATATATAACAATAATCAATGAAAATGAAAATAATATAAATTAAAAATATCTCTCTTACTCGATTCAGTTGTTCCTTTCTAATAGAAGTATTTTTATTAAAATAATGGTGTTTTATTCAAGGAACCAATTTTAGTAACTAAGTGTTAAAAATAAAAAATTAGAAATAGCTATGTGTGAGTTTGGTCGCTGAAAGTGTGGACTATAACATACGTCGTGAAAGATATACATATCTCGAAATTGTGATCTAAGACCCTGGTTTATATTTTCATTATATTTGTTTAAGAAAGTTACCCTTACTTTACATTCAAGAATAAATGCCCATTACTTACAACTTACAATTGAGTCATTCAGAATCCAACGCGGTTAAGTCGATTTTTTTATATTTTCTAATTTTTGTAAATTTGAATGGAATAAATAATATTCTTTTTAGTTATTAAAGGATTTACTCATTTCTCCGTTTTTTCTAGGTCAGAAAGCCTTTCTTTTTATACCTTCTGAATATGTTGTATAATAATTTCAGGAGTCACAACATTAATTTCCTTAATTTTTATTTTCTGTACTTAACCGCATTGGCTTACGAGCGATTCAATTATGTCTCTTTTCCTGAGATTATTGTGCATCACTCCCACTTTTATTATCGAGGCAATGTAAATATCAAATAAGAAAAGTAAAGTTTGTAGATAAGACTTTACTTTATAAAATATGTGGGAGAAACTTTACTGTGGGTCAGAAGTGACCCGACGTTGCGCTTTTCGTACGGCTACATCACTGTCCGCTTTCTATACACTTATTCTACTGGAATGTAATAAACACATACGTTCAGCAACTACATCGATTTGCATGAGTAAATGAGTTCCGTACGGGATAATGATTTATGTAACTAAAATAAGAATGTTACATATGACTTACTTATAACACTTTCGTAGCATACGTCATTAGTATCATTTTACTGACCTAACTGACACGCGTCGCTAGTGGTGGACTGTTATACTTTAGAGAGATTTTTAACACTAAAACTGCCGAATCTTTACCATGATTCATAAGAAAACGGTGTACAAATTAAGAGAGTACAAATTTAAAGTTTCTTTTATTACTTTGTATTGTGAAACTATGAATTTCTTAAATAATTTTGTGTATTAAATGTGTTCGTAATATTAGTAGCTATAAAATAAGAAATTAAAGACCAATGATTTTGATTGCTATAGTAGTTCTAGTGATAATCGTTAATAATTTCAAAACGAAATGGATATTACGTTTTCTTTTTAGTTACTTTTGATTTTCATTTTATTTTCATATATGGAATTCATCTCTAAAATTTGTTTCATCCATGATTATCAAAGTTCTATGTTAAAGTAATTTTCTAGTAATGTATAGAGCTTTGATAAAAATAGAATCTAGTATGATATATACTTTATAATATACAGGGTGTTCTATTAAAATTGCGATGAAAAAATGTCTGATGAAAAAACATGTTTAGTTTCATAGAGAAAACATATAACAAACAGATCATATTTGTTAGTATTTAAAGATCATTAATGTTTTTTAACTATAAAAAGTTTGTTTTCTCATTTCCAAAGCGGTAACTTTGATCTCCGTGATACTAAATTATTACCATTGCGATTGTTAATATTACTTTATCATCTACGCATACCATTTCGAAAATCAATTCATGGAACAAAATATTACAATTAAAATTGTATAGGAAAATTAATTGTTTAGTTACTATCTGATGAACTACTTACCATTTCTCTTGAATTATATTAAAAAATATGGATCATTATAGGGAACAGTATTATTATGGTGTCGTCGGTAATTTCATTTTCTTTTCGAATGAGTAAAGGATGAATTATGTAAAAAACAGCGTGACCAGAGTTTTGTTACAATATTTGCCTAACAAGAACGTATTGTATATATCCAATGGAACATAATAAAATTCGCCTTATTTCAATGTTAACTTAAGGAAATATTCATATCAATATTAAGGAGTATTCCTATTCAGATTCGCCAATCCTAGACAAGTTGTTAAATAAAAAATTGTTAGATTGCTATGAATTAAATGTTTGGTCATGTTTATTTGCATCATGAATATACTTAATTTTCCATTGTTAGTGATCCTGTAATCAGTGCTACAGGAACTGGTCACATATTAACAAAACATATTAACAAAATCACTTCTTCATCTTAATATTCTTTAAATATAAATTTCTTATTACTAGAAGTACCGAGCGTTTAATATGTAATCCTTATAAACATTGTATCAATAAATTTTTTTCGATTTCTTCATAGATTCATTGTAATATTCAAGTGAAACCATTTACTTTTAAAATCAATTACCATATTTAACACTTTTTATTCTCAGAATTCTCATATTCTCATAAAACAGTGTTATTTTATTATAACAGCGTTACTTTGTTATTAATAATTTCTTGAAAATAAGAGAAAATTCCAGTTTTATTCTATGTCAACGTGTGCTGTAAGGTATAATCATTGATAATAGGGCAATAATATGAAATTTTCAAACAAATTGAATAATATTTACAATTGTTACATTCTATTTGAAATTTTCACCACGAGTCTAACAAGATATTGTATGTTAAGGAGCTAGCGTCATTCTAGAGACACAATTTTTTCCTGTAAAAGAAAATGAATTAAGAGGAGGATAGAATGAAAAAAGTGGTGCGTTCAACGTTCAAAAATGGAAGTATATTTTTAGAGCGGCGGTACACAACACGCACACAAATTTAATGCGTTTCCAAATACATCTGGGATCCCATTGGTTCAGTGAATTTCACAAGAAAAGAAGAATAATTAGAAAATTTTCGTTGATCTGTTACAAAGAAATTTCGTTGTCGCGACAATAAGTAGGTGGAAATGAATGACAATTGAATATAATTAATGTTCAGTAAAGTATTCTCACTCTATCCGTTATTCTGAAAGTTTGTAGGAACAGCGATACGATGCAATGGCGGTTAGTGGTTGAAAGTTGAAGTTTACTACAACGAAATCTAGGTCTATGCCGCGGGTGACTTTTTGACATCGATTTTATGGATTTCCCTTATCAAAATGATTGTTTATAGAATCTTTTGGTATTTCAAGCTATAGTACGCCCTCGTGTGGTAACTATAGTATCTAGGATCGTGTCGCATGTTAGTTATCTCTTTCATATCCGCAGATCGTTTGAAGCTCTTATCGAGATTCCTCTCGTCGTAGGTTCTCATTGCTCGTTCGGCCCATTCTTGGGCACGCGGAGGTTCACGGAATATGCCTTTTTGCCTTTGGTTTAGATAGTCGATACAATCATTGTAATAATTTTGCCTGAAACCAGAAATTACTTTCTTATTATAATATAAAAATATTAAAACAATAATACACGTAATTGCACAATCCTTACAAATAATTACAACTACCGAAGAAATTGAGAATCGCTTTTAAGCTTACAGTGAAGTTAGACAGAAACACTTAAGTTTCATGACAGCCTAAGCTTTTATCGAAGAAATATGATTACTTTAGGAATACAGAGGTTGTTAGTAGCTATAGGTTCTAGATTATTAATAGCTGAGGTTTAGGGGAGTAATTATTTAACGGGCTCGAGGAAATAGAAGATTACAGCATTATAGCAAAGAAATTCTTATAACTTTGAAATATAGCATTCGTATAAAAGATATGTAAAAAATTCTTCAGAATGTGAAAATATCAAGGAGCGTAAAATAATTTTTAGAAGTGCGGCAAAATCAGGAGCGTAAATTAATTTTTAGAGATGCGAAACATCAAGAACTTAAAACAATGCATGTAGTGCAGAAATCGATGGAAACGAAAAAAGTACCATATTATCGTATAATCGGCATTTGTTGTAAGTAAACATATTTATCCACTGATCAAATGTATCAATGAATTATGTTCGAATTTATGCATACTAGATAAATTCTCAAATTTTACATTGTTTTTGCTACGAAATTCCTTATAAAATATCTTTCTCCATGATTCTACAACGATTAATTAGGGTTGCTGTAAACAGGACTAAGATTAATCATTAATTCGTTCATCGATTGATTTTTCTATAAGTTGAGGACAATAAGAACGAGGTGACACAACTTACCACGCGATAAATGTAAATCGTATGTGATTTATTTTGAAACAAATATTAAGTTACAATGGAATTTTCTTGGTTACAAAATGTTGAATAAAATAAGTAAGGGAACTAAGAATGGATTAAAGGTATAACGTAATATAAATAAAAAATCACATATATTAACATTCAAATGACGATTACCAAGTGAACGTTTAAATAATCGTGGAAAACTTACCTGTATAAATAAAGGTAATTGTAATTAAGAAATAGAGGACGAACCCAATGATGATTATAATGTGGCGGTTCAAGTTTTAATAATGTAAATTTTGGCGCTTCAGCTGCTGCTTCTGGCGCTGCACCTTCTGCAGATGCAGCACCTTCAGCAGCTGCGTCTTCTGCAGGGGTATCTTCCAAGTCCCATGGCGCTGCCTCGTCATCTGCCCACATGTTGCTTAGGATCCAAAGGTAAAAAGGCCTGAAATGTACATGTCATATGTGAAATTAAGACTTCTCTTTTTTTAAATTTCTCGTTTTTTATTCTTTAACACTTTCGCTGCCACAGTGGTCCCATAGTACGGAAGCTTCGAAATGACTTGAAAACAATTATAATTCATAAGGCAACTGACGTCAAACAAAAATATTCAATAGCGTAAATAACTAGATAACAGTGTAACGTAAGAATTGTGGCAACAAATAATTAATAATTGTTCCGTTTTATCTTTGCTACAAAGGAATAAGTGATACGAAAACGCTTATGTTTTTCGTAGTATTCAACGTGTTATCCCTTTGCCCTACGATTTATTTCTCAATTATGATCCATACAGCTACTTTATTATTAATAATTCATTGACAGTAAAAAAGATTCTAGGCATATTCTGTGTTTATGTTTGGTCCAAGGTATAATAATTGATAAGAAAAGAATAATATTTAATTTGAATTTTGAAGAATTTGGTACTATTTATGTTTGTTAAATTTTGTTTAGACACGTCATTGTAAGGAAAAGGGTTAACAAACGTTCACTTTGCGACAGAAAATTGTAATCAAATAAATTTATTTGTTGAACAGTAATTCATTTTTTTGCATTACGATATCTCATTCTTATTTCTGTAGTCTGTCAATCATATTTTGTCAACAATTGTTTCTTTAATATACATCACGAGAGCATTTGACTAGAATCATATATGACATTAAAGTCACCAGGCAAAGTAGCAATTAAAGTGAAATTAGTTTTTTTGAGGATTCCTGATTTTAATTTTGGCTTTGTAAAGACATATTGAAACTAAATGTTTTGTAGTTAATTTTATTAAGCGTTATAAAGTATATTAAAGTCTCCAGAAAGTGTATAAAATGGAATGTTTTTTAATATTTAATATCTAATATTTAATGCAGTTTGACGTTATAACTAGTTAATCGAAGTCATTCGTGAAGTGATTGATATTTAACTTCACGACATTTTCATTGAATTCATTTATTTTCATTTGCAGAAATTAAAATCGAAATCATCTGAAGAATTAGAAGCATTAACGATAAGGACTTTGCAGTTTTATAATTAATTTGTATACGTTAATTTCGATTACCAAACAGGTACATCAAGCATATTTTGTAATGTCAATGCTATTTTATTCTTATAGACATACATACCAAATTTTTAATTATAAGTTGGAACAAAAGTATAAGAAATAAGAATAAACGATAACAAGTAGTACACAATTTTTATTTCTCTTTTACTAGAAGGTTTAAATAGAAAATAGACATTATTCTATTTATTTATATAAAAATGTAACTTTTTGTTTAAACAATTGTGTAAATAAATTTTTTTGATCTATAATGATAAAGTAATTCTGTCACATTATTATAAAACTACTTTCACATATCCTTAAAGTGATATTTCATCTGGTTTTCCCCGATTTAGTTATATTGACATTTATGCTAGTGAAATGCTCTAAATAGAGGTTTGGTATTTTGATCACTGGTCTGGGTTAGGTTTCTTTAAGGAATTACGGTCACAATTACAGTCACCTCAGAATTAACCGATTACGTATTTCGGTTCCAATGTCGTCGAAAGGTATAATATGACTGGAGTGTACTTCATACTATTATTAAAATGTACCTTGCTCATATTCTGTTTCCATAATCAGTGAATAATTAAACCTACTCAACTAATTATTTGAAATTCTTTGTCCAGTGACTACTCCTGAACCTACGAGAAACATAGGAATCTTTTGCACACAATTTATGGTAATAAATAGCAATTTAAATTGGATCATTGTAAACTACATACGCATTGACATTGAAAAATCGAAATTTAACGATCAATTTTGAATAGTTGCTTTTCACTTTCAATTAATTGCAATTAAAAATTCAAGATGAATTACATGTCAGGATATTTTAATTTCTGTACTATCTTTCTAATATCATTAGTGGAGAGGGAATACTGACAAGATAGATAGATCTGAGATAGCTGATCACGATAAATTAATTTTCGTTTTATTCAAACTCGCCTAATATCATTAATTGTAAGCAATATCGATGTTGAAAACTTTTGTCTCACGCGAAACTTGCAGCTATTACTCTCGATCGATATATTTAGCTAATGAGATATATTTAACAAAGAGAAACAGGTCACCCCAAGACAAAACAAACTGTTTGATTGTGACATCAATTAGTATTTGTAGCTTGATAAATTCGTTCCATAGGAATACAATAAATGTATTTGCAATAGCTAACTTATGTCTAATTAAAATCATCGTATCTCATTCAGTTGTTTCTTCTTATCATGTAACAATGAACAACGAATTTTCGTTAGAATAATATACTACAATGAAAATCAAAATCACTACACAAACTCATTTAACATTTCTTATTCTAATATCACTTTCAACGTTTTTTCGTTGCGTTATCGAATTAATACGATCATAAACGATCAAATAATTTAAATTCATATTAAGTTTATGTTAGAAAAAACATTTTACAACTTGAATAACAAAAAGAAGTGAATCAATCGTGTGTTAATTGTTTAGTTGTCAGTGGAAAAGCATTATGAATTCCAGGGAGAATGCCTGTCTCACTTTCAAACGATCACCAAGAACGTATTCACTGTCACTGATTTCTGTTACTGTTTTTTAGCGATTAATACACACTAATTGTTATTTGGAAGTGCACTCGTTGTCATCTTTTAGATTAAAATGCCTGTTAACACTTTCTGGATGTAATGTGGTACCTGTAAAACGATGGCCACGCGTCTAGCCACTACCTCAGAGCGCAAAAAAAATACTCAGCCCGAACCTTGCCTTGTTTCGCTTTTATTTTAGCTTATAAGATTTTCCTTGGCTACCCTCCGGTCCTCCCCTTAAGTAAAAGGGTGTCCCCTCTCTCCGCGAACGCTCCCGAAGAGGGGATTTTTGGCAAGGAACAATTAAATCAATTGTTACCACAGAGGGCAATAAAGTACTTAGCACGCATGTAAATTTATTAGCCAATGTTACGGGGCATCTGCGTTCGCGGTCCAAACTTTAGGGGCCACCACTTTTGCACGTTCCATTGCACGTTTTTGAAATTTCAATAAATTTGATTTTGCGATTATTTTCAAAGTGACTTTTTTATTTTTTGCCGCCCTCCTGAATATTCTTTTTCTTTCTTTGAATTATCAAATATATTTTACATTTAATGAGTTATTCAAAAATATATTTTTGAAATATAACTCCATTGAAGTCATTCAAATGGTGTAGTATCAGTTACTTGTTTCTAGAGCAATGTGTATATTCTTCTAGTGTTCATTAATAAAGTTTTTTGATAAAAATTGTGTTGTAAATAATTATACCTATTTAATTCATTATAATTGAAATTATCATTATTAAAGACAAAAGGAACTTGAAAAATTGGTTGAAATTTTATAGGAAATTCTAAATAGATGAAGGCGATATTAAATGTTAAAAACTGTTGCATTTAAATTTCTATGGCAAAGGGTGGATATGAATTTAAGATAATTTTATAACAATTGAATTTCAGTTTAAACTGAAAATGTGCTTAAATTAATTTTTACCCTAATTGATTAAACAGAAATTGAAAAATGTGTCGTATGTTGTGTTTCTTTGAAACAATTATGGCGGAAGAAATAGTCATGTCCTAGTGGTTAAATTTAAAGTTGGAGGTAAAATTCAAGATTCGAGACCAAATTTAAATACGAATTTCCAATGTCAACGTTAAAAGCCAATTCCAAGTTAAATTGCGATGTATACTTGTTAACTCTTCTTGAAAATTCAAGGTCAAGGTTAAAGTTCAATGATATCATTCGTATATCAGAAAGTAAGTCGAAAGTGGCATTTAATTTTCTGCATTCAATATTGTAATAAACTTTTAATGGTTTAATTCAAATTGCGAACTAAATTTTGATTATAAAATAATGAGCTAATTTCGAACGAATATGTCCAAATTTTCCAAGAAGGACTTTTATAGAAAATGTATTATTTATCTCAAAGTAATAATTAAAACGGTGTATTGATTAATTAAATGATTCACTGAAATTCCATATTCTTAAATTACATTGAAATTGACATTTTATGTAAACGATTGTTTATTCTGTTTATTTAA